TAACTCCGTTTCCACGTGCTGTGGAGATAATTCATAATTTAGTTTTTAAACCTGTCTGATTACTTGCAACAAACGCTTAAAACGTTGTTAATCTCATGTGCAAACCATTACTTATTGATCACTCGCGTTTTATTTTCGACGAAATAATATTCTTAATATATTCCTAATATAAGAGTAATATAAGATATTCTTAATATAAGGGATAAAATAAGCCATCGAAATATAACATGCCAAAGACGATTTTGTTATAAATTTTAGAGAATCAGTTCTGAATGTAAAAATAGTGTGAGTTTAAATCTTTCACTTGAATAATATTTCAGAACCAGAGACATTAGAATTTTTATCATGATGTGATCATGATTTGAGCATGGTGATCATGAAATTTTGTACATCCTTACATCCTATTTGGATCTTCGTTTCAAATGTGAAGTTTACTTTATAAATCAGAGATACTCAACTGAAAGTCTTTCAAGCTTTTAATTGAAATTAAACTGCTCCGATCAAGTACAGCCAAGTAACACATAAACAACTAGGAGTAATTATGTGCGGAATATTCATTTAATCGATAAAAAATTAATTTAAAATTTCGGCGTTTAGCCCTCGTTACAGGATTTTTAATATTTATCTCAGAAATGAAACAAAATTACGAAAAGTAGTGGCAAATATTTCGAGGATCGAAAGATGGATGATTGTTCGTAAAAAAGCAATCAGTTTATTTTAACGAGTCACTAGAAAATAACAAAAGAATGAACTTCGGGGCACGCAGATCTCTTCAGTGCAAATGAAAATAATTGCCAGTGTTAATCAATCACAGAGTGCGGCTGCTGGAAGGTGAAATTACGTTAGCGGTTCCAGAAACGAGGCGAACATAATCTGGTCAACGTTACGAGCTCGAGCGGATAACAGTGGCCACGTTCATAATTGGAGTGGCGGTGATTTAATGTCTTTTTAGGCGATTCGTAAAACGAGAGAGTTTTAGGCACATCGCGGACTATTGTGGCCAGCACGCTAATGCAGTTCAACGCTTCCGTGAATCGGCGGTTCACAAAATTAATCTTTCAAACGAACGTTTCTCCGGACAATGCGCGCATCCGGCAACTATTGGCAAAAAGATAACGGTCCCGCGCGCACGATCGCCAAAGCAGGCATTTCAATGTTATTTGACGAGGGATGCCGCAAATTCATCCGCGAGAATTGCATAGAAACAAATTCGTCTCATGCGTTCATTCCACATTTATTGCTAATTCCCCGTTCCCTTCCACTCCCTGCGAATTGGTGATTCATCATTTCTCGCGATATGAGCAGAGAAACATACTCTGCCCGGGTCGTCATAAATCAACCTGTACATTATTTAATTTTGTTCAAACACACGAGGTAAATACATTATTAATTACGCGAAATGTAGTTAGCGTATTTCAAACATACATTCGCACGTGCTGTTTCAACCCAGTATAACTCTAATTAAGTCGTGCCTTGTTTCTCTTTTTTTCTTAATTTACACTCATTTTAGGCGCATATATTCCGGATTGTTATCATCGCACACAAATGTCTTCCGGAATGAAATGTCTAAGTAAAAGTACTCTTTAGTTATAGTGACACAGTTATTTCGTATGCCTTTTGTCTCCGCATTCTTTTTGTAAGCTTTCAAGGTTTATGACTTGTTTCTCTTTTGTAATCGTACGTTCACTGTGTGACCTTGAAACAACGCTAGATACACAAACGAAGATTGTATTACAAAAAACCGTTAAATTTTTAGTTATCTCCATTAAAGACTTTAACAACAATTTTACTGATATAGATATTCGTACAGTTTGTTTTGTGTGCGATAGTATGTAGATGTAACCCCTTTGACGTGTCACACAGGGATGATGGAAAAAAGGTATGCGATGATTTTTAGATATATTTGCTGATCAATTTTCAAGAACGTTAAACTAATTGGTACTTATTCTGTTTTAACAACTGAATAATTTTTTGAAGTATTACATGACATGTTCGGTATTTATGGATATACTAACAATTCATTTAGAACGTGACGAAATGTACTTTCAAATATCCATAATTATTAAAAAAGTTTACTCGATCACATTCACATACAAATAATTATACAGGTTGAGCCACCGAATTGTATGATTATAAATTACTTGTTGATTGTTTATTATATGAAAAAACGCGTTAAATAGAAGTTATTTTTGTTATTTTGCTTTTGTAAGCAAAATATTTAGATATATAAATATCACTTTCGTGTCACTTCTTTTCTGATATTAAACGCTAAAGAGTATTAAATGCTAATGAAAAATTAATTAATGTGTATGGATTCAAACGTTAATAATTACTGAAGAATTCTAAAATATGATGAAATGCATTATATAATTAATCAACTATGCACTGGTTTCGATTGTATTGAACATTTTAAACGTTAATTAGACTAAAAATCAATTAACCTGTTAATCGCAAATGAGGAGGTATCTCGCTATGCGCGTATATATTCCATTTTCGTTCACTTTTCCTTCTAATTCTTCGTTTTTATGCCCCTTCAAGCAACAATTCCTGCATTTCATTGTATCACTAGGTTCATGCTAGATTAAATCGCGTAATACTTATATGTATCACTATAAAATGTAGACTATATTATTTTAATTCTCCTCCAATTGCACTTTTATGAGATGTTTTTAAATGTTCTTAAACTGATGTTCACTAAAATGTTTAAAACGTATAATCTTTGAATCCGTACAATTGTATATCAAATGTTTAGTACTTTTTCGCGCTATAAAATTGAACACATTATAGTGAGAAAGAACAAGATAACATTCGCGTCGCCATGATATAGAAAAAGAAGGGTTACCTATTGTTACGGTGCACCTACCTTGAAACTATAGAACTTCTTCCAAACTATTTTTCTATATACTACACAGTTTACAATCGATATAAGCTGCTTATCTAAAGTAATCCATTAATAAATATTTCTAGACTTCATATGATTCACTGTGAATAGTTATATAATTAAAAATTCAAGACAGTAAAATCTTTTCTCACATAAATATCCAAGCTATACTATGAATTACGTAGCTATTTATACCTGTTAAATTAGATTCTTAATAACCCAAATTGAGAGATCTACTATAATTTTATACAATTATGCCTTGCATAATTTATATTATCGCCTTTGCTTGATTGTATACACTACATATACAAGTTACCTTTCTTAGAGAAGACTTGCGTATTCAACAAAATATTAATAAGATCTATATCATCAGAAGTTCTATTTACAAGAAACCTTATTAAGTATGATTTTAAATAGTATCATCACTATAACTACTTAATTACACTCATTTAGGTGTACTAAGTACAAGTTAATAATAATTATTATAAATGTAGATGTAAACCTGTGATTGCTTACATGTGTTCCACAATAATATCCCCAAGGAACAAGGGAAGTCATGATGATTCATTAATTCAGACTGTCGCTATACTACTAATCGATCATTCGTAACAGGCTGCGTAACATTAAAGCGTAGATACTTATCTCGCTGTAAGTACAGAAAAGCCAATATTTACTACAAACATGAACCAAGCTCGAAAGTAAAGCTTTTTACCGATAAAAACGTCATTTAAATGATCGAAAGCGATGCCCGACGTCAAAACACATTCCTAGTGGATTGGTCGACTGTTAATCAGACATACGCCAGCGTCGCGAATAAACCTCAAAGCAAAGCGATTGAAAGTCCAATATCCATAAACTATTTACATCATGTTCCTCATTAAGGTTTCCAACTATTATGTTCCATTTTAATTAGCAATTTACATTCATTTACTCAGAGCGTTCTTATTTTCATTGTGTACTTAACCTCGTCTGTCATCTTTCGAAATAATTGCATAGTTATTATGAAGTTATTCAACGTTTTATAATCTACAATCATTTCAAGTTATTGTTCCACAAATTACATCAATTCATAATAACATAAAACTAACTCAGGAGGAATATGTAAATTTCAACACTTAACAAATTCACTGACTTAAATTCACTCATTTAGTTTAACACTGAAACTACCGAGCAATAAAATCGACCGGTTTCTATTTTCTTATACAATTTACAAAAATACGTTTATTGAGATTTCAGATTGCTTATCTAAATCAATTTATTCAATAATTTCTCAAAAATTTGACCCATCTAGATAGATCTATAATCTACACCAACATTCCACATCGAACAATCACTATAATCAGTTCCGATCATCCCTGACGTTTCGCTCAAAACCAAGTCCGAAGTGACAGAATAGCACCAATGTCCACAAAAAAACCAAACACTCCCGACCCATTGCTTTTTATCTAGATCAGAGTAAACCTCCGTCATCCCTAACGAAAAAAGTACATGCCACCCGTCGCAGACGTTAAACTTTTTCAATGCCCTGATAACCGAACGTTGCTGAGACCCGCGTACCTAAGTACGAGCGACACGGTAG